TTCTTTTCTCTTCTTCGACTGTTTGGTTTACATGGAGAATAACTGTTTGAACATCTTCGATTGTCATAATTTGTGCTTTTTTCAGCGCTTTCAAATAATGCGTTATCAGATCTTCCCTGACACTAGCAAAGACTTTCAGAGCATTGGCCAACTGTCCAGGGTCGTTATTTTGGCATGCTGTCTGGATATCATTCACTGAAGTACAGGATTAACAAGAATATAATCTTCCACAGATTTCATTTAAAAATCTAATTTGACTTTAGACAGTACAAATCGCAGAGCTAGTTCGTATGAGGCCTTTCTAAGCACGCTTTTCTAACTCTCTCTCTCTCTCTTTCTCTCTCTCTCGTTCGCTTTTGCGCTGTAAAGTATCCTTAACGTCAACTGCTCATATGTTGAGTGTGTCAGAATATCTTAGCAGTATACTGTAATCAATACTCGTTTGAAATATAGAAGAGTGCAGTATGGATCAGCCAAGGAAAATCTACTGCGTCTGGAATGAGAAATGAGCGTATACACCTTGTTTTCTGCGAGTTTCAACTCTAACGGCCTCCTCACTGGTAAGTTGAAGGATTGTCCGGATATCAGCTATCGTTGAAAATTCGGTGTTGCGCAGTGCTTCAAGGTAATACGTGATAAATTCCTTCCGTGCGCCTTCGACTCCTTTTAGCGCCTTCTCCAATGCCATGCTGTCGTTCTTCTTACACGCTTCCTTTATCTCTTGCACTGAAATAAAACCTAGGCCAGCCGGTGCGAGCATGCACTTTTGCTCAGCTTTTTAAGCAGGTTTCACTCACAAGCGTATGCATTTTGCAGTGAACGACCGCCCTCATCCTCTTCCAACATCCATTTCCACTTCTCCACTGAAAAGTGGAAGTGTTACTAGAGCAGTCGTTCGCTACAAAATGCAATCATTTCTGAGTTTGTGGCAATGCTGAGTGTTTCTCACATCACTTGCAGGGAATTTCACTTCCAAGCAGCATCAAGACTGCATTTGGTAGAATATCCCAGCAAATTTTCAGCCTAGCACATAATCCGGTACGCTAAATAACGAATTCGCTACCAATATCTTTGAAATGCCCTGATTCGTGGCGCAGTTGCAAATCGAAACTCATTTTAGGCATGCGATTTCTCATATGGACGATAAATATTCTGAGAAAAGTTCGCCAATGTTTTTCGGCGAGTTTTCAAGTTAACACAGTTCCAGGTGAAAATTTTGACGTGATTGTAAGCGCTGCACAAATGTGCGCAGTGGCTAAATTTAAAATTTTTAGCTCAAGTAAGCTTACAGAATATCCCTGCAAAGCTTCAGATTTCTGCCCTGTGTCCCCAAAATCATTTCCCTCCGGTGAAATTTGCATATTTTTTTCAGGTGTCCGTGGGATCTACGCGCGTGTGAACGAGAATTTTAAAACGGGAGGATGACACGCGGGGTGGGAATATGGCGCCAAAATGTTAGCGCTTTCCTGGTTGCTGAGTTGAAAGTGGGTGACAAAGTCACTCGCTTCCGAACATATACATACACAGAAGGTCCTTTCGACAATATGCTTTTTGCTCGCTGTAGCAGCAGTATGGCGCCGCACAACAAAAACGCATAAAAATATTTAGCTCTACATCACTGTGATAATTTGATAAAGCGGATTCTTGAAAAACAAATAAAACTAAAAAGAAGCGACTTTTCTGAGAGACTGCGACGATCAGGGTCTATCTGTCACAGTAGCCAGGCTGCCCCAGTACAGTGGCAATGTAAGGAGTAAAGGCAGCTCAGCGATGCTATCAGTTTAAAATTCGGTCTGTGCACATGTTCATGGACAATGCGCTTAGGGAAAGTAAGCGACCGCTCGAGCGATGCTGAGAAGGCTGCGCACATTGAACAGGCGAGGGATGCTAACTGGAGTCATGCGCTCCCGAGGAAAGGAAACCTATACTGCCAGCCCAAAAAGTCTTGGTATGCTTAGTATATGTTCGTAACGAACAAAAACAATGCCCAATGAGAAAGCAGTACTGTTATTGCAGAAAACTGCGAAGCAGGAGCACCGTGCTGAAGTTTTCCTTACAGCTCAAACTGAGCAGCGCAATTCGATTTACTGGGGCCTATCACACTCCTCAATCGGATAAACCAAACTCTGGCTTTTCTAGTGTAATAGGTGCAAAACGCATATCACAATGCCTGCTAGGCTGTCGCCCCTCATTAGATTTAGTTAGATTATTTTGATGATTACCCTGGATGCCGGCTGCTAGTAGTTTTGTCCTATGCGTCTCGTCAGCCTATCGCGTGACTAAAAATTATACTTAAATCAGTGTGCGAACTATTAATTTATGGCACATTGTTAAAACCATAAAACGATACTAAACAGTATTAATTTACAAAACCATTGGTGACGCGCACTGGGCGGGCCCGTGCAATCATGCGCTTCTGCAGCGTTTCGTGCTGTAATAAGATCACTCGAAATTCCGCAAGTTAGAAGCCTCTTGTATATATTGTTTCTCGAATTTCGAGATAATTATCCACGCTATACTTGGACAAAGAACATTCTCTTGAAATCGCAGGTTCCCAGCTTTCTCAGTTCCCGAGTTACCCATATTCCAACTAGAAAATTTTAAGGGGTCGTACGTGGCAACCACGCATAACGGGAGACTGAATTTGATAAATTTAAGTTGTAAATGAGTTGGGAACATTTCCTGGAAGTTTCAGCCTCCTAACTTCCCTGGTTCCGGAGTTAGCCATTTTCCCGCCAAAAATTTTTACGGGACCATCCGTGGCAACCACTCATAACGGGGGGTTGAATTTAAAATCTTTCAGTTCTATGTGGGCGGGGAACATGATCCCAAAATTTCAGTAGCTTTTCTAGTTCTGAAGTTGGCGATTTTCCCGCCAAAACTTTGAGGCGCTGGTGCGCGGGGCCTAGACGTGCTTGAGGATTGGTGCCGCGGTGCTGGGATGGCACCTGATCGGGGAACCCACTCGCAAAATCATGGCGCCGGAGTTTGCTTGGGTGTCGAGTTGAAATACCCTGGCAGACGTACACACATACACACACGCACACGCACACACACACACACACACACACACACACCGGGGTTGTCGCAATGTACGTTTTACAAAAACGCATAACTAAGAAAGAACAAAAAGAGACAACACAAAAGGAACAGAAGTTTCTGAGAAACTTTGAAATATTAAGTAAAAAAAATTACAATAATTTGCCAGACCACAGCGTATGGCTGTTTCACCTATCTTCGTGGAAAAAAAATCCCTTAAATACATAGCAACAATTCACCTTCATTTTTGGATGAGAAGCAGAAAAAGCAGAAATACTTTACCTTTGCCACAATGCTCAGCCTCACCGTTGACTCTCTGCACGATGTCACGCAGCTGCTCGGACATCAGTACACTGTCCTGTCCACGAGTCTTGTATTCCTCACGTATACTTGCGATGTACGCACCCTTCAGTTCCGTCTTTACCATCTTTTCCATACTCAGCGGTTTGCTTCGAAGCGCATCACACACGCCTTGCGCATCATTTTCGAGTGCGTAAAATCGTACTCGCATACACATGTTGACCACTGCAAGCAGCTTCTCATTTACAGCTAGAAAATGAAACACAAACTGCATTCAAACATGTCTTCTTGCATATGACACTTAGTCCAGCCCCTTATCTCCTGTTCTGTTAGTCCAGTCTAAAACTTCATTTTTGAAGCGGCAAACCTTGCAAGACAGCTTCCACTTGTTCCAGGGTAAGTGGTACATTTTGTGTGATGCGAATTTTGTAAAGTTCTTCGGCGTACAGAGGGCCAGCACTGCGTAGAATATCTTCTTGCTGAAGATCGTCCAAGATCAAATTTAATTTCGATATTTCCGGCTTCTGTCTTCCCTGCAGCACATACTCCAGCTGCTTTAGCGCTTCCACATCTAAATCTAATCGTTTTACAAACATGATATTTTATGTGAGATGTTGAGATGGCTTCTCAATGAAATGTTTCTTTTTCCCGCAACTCCTTACTTCCCTCTCCTCGTGCCTTCTTCGTTCCCTTCCTTTACTCCTTTCTCCCTTCGTCCTTCTCCTCCCGCCCCTCTCCATACTCATGCGTCATTAAGAGACTGTATTTACTCTGATTTATCAAATTGTGAGTAGTA